ACCTTCCCCAAGATAGCTGCCCCTCCCCTTGGTCTGCCTTACTGGTCCCTGTGGTCCCCAGGTGAAGCACTGTGCCAAGGGGAAAGACGGTTTGGATGATAGTCTGGGAGCCCCTGTGGGACGCTCTATCCTGTGTTGTGTATTTGCTGAGTCAGTCAACACGGAGGCCCTTCGTCAGAAGTCCAGGTGGCATTCACCGGATTAGGCATTTGGCTGCTGACTGCGAGATCGGTAGTTCAAACTCACCAGCTGCTGCGCCCGGGAAGAAAGATGAGGCTGTGTGCTCCCACAAAGTTATCGTGCTGAAAACCGAATGGGGCAGGTGGTAGTTACAAAATCTGGTGTCAATTTAAGGATTAAGAGTGAAGGGGTGGAGTTTAGCCCGTCAATCAGATCGCAGCTTGATGACCTCATTTGGAGGCGGGACACAGGTTCACTCCCTGAGAGACTCTCTACTGACAAGGCACATGGGGCTGTGCTGAGGGCAGCGAGAACAGTGGTCCTGGCGGGGCCACGTGGAGACACACAAACCTGGAGCGGCTTCCACTGTCACTGGATCCACAGGACTATCTGCCACTGGCCTGTGATCTTCCTGCATTTGGCATCGTTGTATGTGTTTCATGAGTCTGCAGAGGACTTTATAGATTGGTATCAGACATATGGGCCAATATCGGACTTATGGACTTGATCTGGACTGGGGTGGGATGTTTTCTCCATATTCAACTGCTCTTGTTTTTAAAGCTCTTTCTTAGACGAGTGTCTATGAATTTTTCTCTAGTCTACCCAGACTAACACAAGGCAGTTTTACTCTGCCCACTAGGGCCGCTCGCTGTGAGCCAGGATCAACTCAGTGGCAGTGGTTTGAGACACATGGTGCCAGCCTTCTCTGGGCTCAGGTGTGCTGCCCACACACAGCTGCTGAGGAGCATAGAGAGACAGAAGTGCTGAGGTCCGTTCCCGGCCCCTAGCTGACTTCTCCCATTTTCCAAGTGGGCAGCGCCCAAGCTCCCCGACAAGTCTGCCTTCCTACGCCCATAGGAAGCCCTGGAAGAAGACCCCCACCCAGGCCTGGCCTGGGCACCTAAAATGCCCCTGGAGTCCATGGACGAAGGCCTCTGGATGGTGGCAGCAGTGTGCGACAGTGCCACCCGACAATTGGCCGTTCAAACCCCCCCCCCAGTGGCTCCACTGCAGAAAGGCCAGGCCAGGTGCTTGTGTCCAGAGATTACAGCGGAGAGGCAGTTCTAGGGCCAAGAGTCAGACTCATGCCACAGTCGTGGGCTACGTGAGCAGGGGCACCGGGGCGAGGTTCTAAGTGCTCGGCCTGGAGGGTCTCATTTAACTCTTGAGGCTACTTCAAAGAGCCCGTGATGGTGGGCCCCGTGTCCCCACTGATGCAGGAAGGTACGCGCTCTGCCGAGCCCCTGCACTCTCTGACTTGCCATGCAGGGAATACCGGGGGTGGCGGGTGGGGTGGGGGGGCATGTTCACTCTCCCTTGGCAGGGAGGGCAGGTGGTGGGCGTGTCCACCACGGGGCGCCCCCAGAGATGGGAGGCAGAAGGAACACATCACAAAACGCCATTGGGACCTTTCTCTCCGCAGGGACACGAAAACGCACCAGGTTCATATAGCAGACCTTTCTCTTTCAAGCCTCTTAAGGGTGTTTTATTTGTTTTTTTTCCTTTTTTTAACCATGACACATTAAAAAATTGAGAACTACAAAAATGGGACTGTGTCTTTGAGTCCATGTTCACATTGTCCCACACCGTGGCTCCAGGGCTGGCTGGACATCTGGCCTCTTAGGAAGGCACCGGGGCAGCGCCCCACCCCACTCACCCCACCCCTGGGGCCTGCCTGCGCCTAGGCGCTGTTCCTCTGGGTCCCACTAGAGGGAGGCACTAGGGCTGCCCCAGCTCCCGCTTCTCTATGACCTCCAGAACTGACAAGCCCCTCCCTTCTCCCATAGTCAGGAGCTAGAAGCACAAGGGAACTTATTCTGGTCCCCACAGGGGACTCTTTCAGGGGTGAGGTCTTCCCCTGACCGGCAGGAGACGACACCCCAGCCCAGCCCAGTCACCCCTGGGAAGTTGGGGCATCGCTCCACAGTCCGGTCTCCAGCCCAGCTGACATGCACCCCAGGGCACTGCTCTAAGCCACAAGTCCCTGCCTAGGCACCGGAGTGGCAACTCCCATCCAGAGCCCATGGGGGACTCAAGCCCAGAGCCCTGGCTCAGAAGGAGAGGCAAGGTGAGGGGTGGGGGTGGGGGGAGGAAGAGACCAGCTGAGGGGCTCAAATTGAGGTGGCTAAATGGGTGGGGGTGGGGGTGAAGCAACAGAGAGCTGCCTGAGGGGACGTAGGAGGCTCCTCGGGCTATGGTATAGGAAGGGGGTGCCTCAGGCACGGGCAGCAGGTCTAGGCAAGGGACTCTTGCCCCACCTCCCATCCTGACTCCAGTTACCATGGGGACACAGGGCCAGGCGACAAGACCTCAGTCTCCTCCGAAAGGGACACACCACGCTGCACTCAGTCCAGCCCTCTCGGCTGGGACCCCACCAGCCCCATCCCTGCCCTGCCACAGGCACCCCTCTAATGGCCATGTGGACTGGTAGCGGGTGGGGGGCCCTGCTGGCCCAGGATCCCCAGCCACCCCAGCGCCTCCTGCCCCCAGCCCTCCCCTCTAGTCTTGCTGCTCATTCATTTCCATGTCCGACACCAGGATGTTCTTCTCAGTGGCCTCGCCGGGCCCAGAGGAGCTGCGGCTGTAGCGGGCACCCTCGAAGGCCCCTCGCTCGACACTCTTGCGCCGCCGGTACAGGATCAGGGCCGCGGTCAGCAGGGCCAGGAGCAGCAGCACCGCCATCAGCACCACCACCAGGGCGGCCGGGTTCTCTGGTAGCGCAGCTGCGGAGGGACATGATGGCCAGCGGCCTGCAAGTCAGGCCTAGGCTGGGCAGCCCTCCCTCCTCTGCCCATCCGCCCCAAGGAACAACGGCTACTCTCAGCGCTGCTTGGGGCTTACCTGATGGGGAGAAGCTGCTGGTCTCGGCTGCAGGGAGAGAGAGAGAGAGAGAGAGTTAGTTCATGAGCCAGCGTAGCTAAGGCAACAGTCAAAGTAAACACAAACGGAGCCCTTCCTACATGCCGGACACCTCTTAAAAAGCCTGTTCATTTGCAGTCCTGGGGGGTGGGGGGGCAAAGGGTTGGAAGGTTCCACAGAAGAAAGGCCTGGTGATCACTTCCAAATAGCAGCCACTGAAAAGCCTGGGGCGCCCTTTTCCCCTGACACACAGTGGGTCAGAGGTGGCTTGGCAGCAACGTTTTTTTTTCCCCTTTGATTTTAAAATAAAACGGTGATGTAAGTACTATCGTCCTCTCCATTTTGTGCATGAGGAAACTGAGGCACAGAGCATAAGTCCCTTGCCCGAGGTGAGGGAGGCGCTGAGTGACGGCGTGCCATGGGGACCCCAACTGTGCTCTGAACACTTTGGAAGGAGAAAGGTTTTTCGAGTTGGCAGCTGAGTCCCACGGCCAGTCCTTCCCACAACACATTTCTCCAAGGGGAGGGTGGTCCCGGCAGACCTGGTCTCTTCACGCCCTCTCGTCACTGTGCCCGTGCAGAGAGAGGCCCTGGCTGCCCAGGAGTGGACAAGATGTGTCCATGGGCCACCGGCGCTCACCTCGCGGGAGCTTGCAGACCACGCCCATGGTGACATTGCTGCAGCCCCCCGGCCGCCACAGCCCACTGCTGCTCTGGATCCAGTAGCAGCTGTTGTGGCTCAGCATGCTGGGGCCCAGGCCGGGGGGACCCCAGTTGGAGTAGTTGACGGCTGTGTTGTCCTGCCAGACCAGGGTGCCTCCTAGGAATGCAAGGGAGGAGAGAAGGGAGTGGGGGGGCAGAAGCAAGAGAGGGCATAGGCTGGTTCTGAACTAGCCCTCTCCACCCCCACCCTGGCCAAGCCCTGCTCTTCAGCGTGTGGTCTCACCCGTCCGCCACGCGCATGGGGACCCACCTTTGGGGTTGAAGTTCATGCCCAGCCAGGCACCGCGACTCTGGCCCTCGGCGCTCTGCAGATGCTCCCAGACGAACACGTTCTCCATCTCGTCCAGAATGGACAGGACTGCCCCGCCCACTGGACACAGGGGCCCGGTCAGGCAGGCAGGCCTCTGTGGTGAGGCAGAGCCCAGTGCACCCCACCCTCCTCAAGCAGCCCTGGCGGCGGGGAGGGGGCAGCCTGTGCATTTATGTGGGGGGACTATTTGTGTACAATGCCACAAATGTCCAGCAAACGCTCAGGGTCAGGTGGCAGGTGGGGCGTCAGTGGCCCCGCCCTCCGAGAGCTTAAAGCTAGAGGACTCTGGATCCACTTTGCTTTCGTCATTGTTGTCAGCCTTCAGGTCTCGACTCACCCCTACACCACGGCTGCCTAGTTCGCACCATCCACCGGCCAGCTGTGCCCCACAAACCGATCTCGTCTAGTCGCTCCCGACTCCCAGCAGCCCTGACTCTGAGGCTGTTGCCTCCACGGGAGCAGACAGCCTCGTCTTTCTCCTTCGGAGGGGCTGGTGGCTTCGAACAGCTGACCTTGCATCAAGTAACCACTGACCTAGCGGGTGGCAGACCCATGCTGATCCGACAGCGCCACCAACGACCCTTCACCCCAAACAAAAAGCAAGCTCACTGCTATTGAGTCCGACTCTGTGGTTTCTGAGACTGTACCTCTTTCTGAGAGTAGAAAGGCTCGTCTTTCTCCCAAGGAGCAGCTAGTGGTTTCAAACAGCTGACCTGTCGGGCAGTAGCCCAATTCATCACCACTACATCACCAGGACTCCTCGCAAGGGGTTTTATTCAACAGTTTCTACTGGACCCTCTAGTAATACTCGACATACAGCGTACTGCTTGCAAGTTGTGCGACCATGTCATCTTCCTTTTCTGCAGTGGTTACAAGTTGGGCTGCTAACTGCAAGGTCGGCAGTTCGAAACCACCAGCTTCTTCTTGGGAGAGAGGCTTTCTACTCTGATCAAGTTAGTCTCGGGAACCCACAGGAGCAGTTAGTTCTACTCAGTCCTATGGGGTCACTTTGAGCTGGCCTCAACTTGATGGCAGTAAGTTTGGCTCTGGTTAGGATTTCCAAGTTGCTCAAGACCCCTCATTAATATCAAGGTCCTTCTCCCTAAGGTCCCCATCCAATGGCTGCTGTCAGTTTGCACTTAGATGAATAGTGGCTGTCTGTACAGTAGGGGCACTGGATTCACGAGGTCTCTGAGTGTCCACAAGCGATCACCCCTGAAATGCCCCCTCACCTCGCTGGCAGCGCTGTAGGGCCTCCTTGTGGCCCAGCAGCAGCTCCAGGTGGAAGGAGTAACAGTGCTCCCGGAAGGGAATCCATGTGGAGTCGGCTAGCCCCTGGGGACAGCTGCCCTTGTAGCTCATTCTTCGGGGAGAAAGGGGCCCTGCGGGGTGCAAGGTGAAGGGATGGCTGGAGTCCTCCCAGGGCCCCCCGGGGCCTGGCTCCCTCCTTGGCCCCAGCGCCGGCCACTCACCACCGCTGGCTCCACACACAGCTCCCTGCAGCTTGGTGTGGCAGTTGGTGGTGCGCCAGGAGCCGTCCACATCCACGTAGGCGCAGCCCCCGGGCTGCTGGGGCTCCCCGTCCTGCCAACTGACGAAGCCCAGCGGCTCCTCGGAGACCCAGGAGTACCTCCGGGAGCCCTGGGGGGTGGGGTGTCAGTGTGGGAGGGTGAGAGGATTTGGGGGTGGGGGGTCTGACAAGGGGAGGGAGGAAGTCAGGGCCCCGGCGAGCAGGGCAGGCCCACCTCCTCACTGGCCAACCCGATCCAGAGCGGCGTGCGCAGCCCGTGCGCGGCCTGCGTGAGAAAGGCCTGGGTGTAGGGGTCCAGCACGCGGGCCAGGCTGGTGTTGCGGCTCTCACAGAGCAGGAGGGCGTCGTGCCAGCGCAGCGGCTTCTGCAGCAGCCGGAAGGTGCCGTTGAGGTAGGAGAGCTCGGCGCCCGGGGCAGGGGGCGATGCTTCTGGCGACGGGCTCAGGGAGAGGTCTGCAGGGAAGTGGGCAGGGTTCAGGGCGCAGTCACAAGACTGGGGGATGCGGTACCCAACGCGGAGAACCCTCATGAGTCTGGAATGACCCGACCCACGGAACCCGAGGCAGAGGGTCTCTGGACTGGCCCGAGGAACCTGACTCAGGATGGTCCGCCTGCCAGCAACTCCCGACCCTCAAACCTTCCTCCCGAGACCTTTGTTGCTCCCCTGGCCTTTCAGCCCACCGGCGGTCCCCAGCAGACCCTGGGCTGGTCCCCAAGCACTGTAGACACCCACCGGTCCCCTTCTGACAGATGAAGCCGTGGGTCTCCTCTACGCAGCTCCGGTCATCCCAGCGGCCAGTGAGGGGGGCGGAGGGGCTGTGCAGGACCACCGCACAGCTGGTCTGGGGGGAAGGAGCCACTCAGGGGAGCCCACACAGTGACTCCCATCCACTCTGTGCCACTGTCCCTCAAAGGCCGAAGAGGGAGGTACGGAGCAAGGCAGATGGGCTGGCGGGGCCAGGGCAGTTGGGGATGCCATCCTCACCGGCTTGTTACCACTGGGAGCTGGGCTAGGGCCAGAGGGCTCCCCGGGTGCCCAGTTGGCATACAGCAGAGGCTCCTGCTCCACCCACTGGAAGTCCCGCTGCGAGGCATGGAGGCCGATCCAAAGGTCAAAGGTCACATTGGGCAGGCTGGCTGTGATGAAGGCTGCCGTCCCCAAGAAGAGCCTCATAAGAGACAGGCTCCATCTTGCCTGCTCTATGCTAGCCATCTCAAAGGGCCATGGCAGACTGACCCTACCTTGCTCCAGGGGGTTTGCAATGGTGACCAGCTGGGCCTCTTGCTGTTCACAGGAGAACTGGGCTTCTGACCACTTCACTCGGTCCTGAGGGTCCTGGCCCTGGAGCTGGAAACACTGTGGGCAGAGAAGGCAGGTGTCAGCTCTGTCTCCCTGCCCCACATGCCCCTGTGCAGGGGCTGGACCCAGGAACACGGGGTCCCCTGTGGCAGGGCTCCTGCACATTCCCACACTGGCACGGCAGGTGCCCGTACACTCGGCTACACGTAGTTAGATGGCAACCCTGTCCCTTGGTTGGACAGAGACCCAGTCTGTCTGGCCTTGGGCCGAGGGCCTTCCTGAATGCCGTTGGCACTGCCGGCCCACTGGGATCCGATCAGCTGTCCGAGGTGCTGTGGAGCCAGTTCTGACTCCGGGCACCCTGTGGGAGCCGAGCAGCACCGCTCCATGGAGTTTTCTTTTTCTTATCGTTTTATTGGCTTGGGATTCACACCTCACACAATTCAATGTACCAATGACATCAAGAAGACTTGTATCATCAGCACCTCAATGCACTTTAGAACATTTTCTTTGCTCTTGTACTCATCATTGTGAGCTCCCCATTTCCCCCAACCTCCCCTGCCATGCCCCCAAGGAACCATTAATCCAGTTACTGTCTATAGATTTGCGTCTCATAGACAGAAAACATACCAAAAAGAAACAAACAAAAAACAGAAATATTAACAGCAATAACAAAGTAGAACGGATAAATGCCAGGCTGCGGCTTTTTGCACTAACCTTTAGGTTAGTCGTCCAGCACTTAACCTTCTGTGCCCCCTAGAGGGGCTCTTTACATCTGAAGGGCTGGTGTTAGGCAGCAGCCGCCAATTCTGCCATTCTGTTTCCATTTTCCTGCCTTCCAGACTTCCATAGGGTGATGTGGGATGCAAAAAGGTTTTTCCCCAGGTTGTCCCCCATAATATATGCCAGACACAGTGCATGTGAGTGTGAAGAGCACTTTATAGGTTGGTATCGGACATATGGGCTAATATCAGACTTACGGCCTTGGACTGGACTGGGCTGGGATGTTTTCTCAATGTTCAATTCCTCTTGTATATAAACCTCTTTTTGATACACAGATGTGTGTCCATGGCTTTGTTTCTCTGGTCTACCCAGACTCACACAGATGCTAACTACAGGTCGGCAGTCCGTGGGTTGGAGTCGAGCAGGAGACCAGAGATGGCAGTGATTACACTGAGTGGCTTTCAAAGGCATCCCCGCCCCGGCATTCCGGCCAAGGAGGAGCCTCTGGGACTGGACTCCAAGGCGGTGAGAGAGAACAACAAGCCATAACCTGGCTGTCACCAAAAAGCCGGTATGTCCAAGGCTCAGGCTCCGCAGGTCCCCCCCTCTCCCCCCTCCCAACCTCCTACCTTATTGAGAAACTGGCTCCAGCCAGAGGGGCAGCCCCCCAGGGCTCTGGGCGGCAGGTCTGGGGGCAGGCTCTCTCGAGTGCTGTTGCTGCGCTTGCAAACATAGGGCAAGGCCGTCAGACACCTCTGGTCTCCCCAGTCCGCTGTGAAGACGGAGGGAAAGTGGGGTGGGCCATCAGCCCCACGTGGGGCTAGCAGCACCCTGACTCTGCCCTCCTGTGTACAGCTCTGAACTCAAGTCCTTTGGGAACAGGCCCTTCTCTCGAGTCTGGCCCGACAAGATCCCTTGGGTTGAGGGAACAAACAAGGAGAAGGTCCGGGCAGGCACAGCCGTCCTCAGCAGACTGAACCTGCCCGTCTGTCTGGCCCTCACCTCGATTGGCCGTCATGTACACACACTTCTTGTCCTTGCTGATGGGCCGGGGTTTGCCAGGTGCCCAGGAGATGAAGTTGATAATGGAGCCATCTGTCCACCTGCAAAGGCACCGAGCAGGGAGGACGCCAGCCTTACTGAGAAGCTCGGCCTCCCGTTTGTAGCAGTGAAGGCTTTGGGAACGGGGACAGGAAGGGTCCCTTATCCAGGGGCTCGGGGGCGGCTGAACTCAGTGCTCCGGGCGATCTGAGCCCTCCCTTCTCCAACAAGAAATGAGTGGGCATCCTGGCCCTGAGGGCAGAGGCCTTGCTCCCACCATGAGTGGGCCTGGTCCACAGTGTAAAATGGGCTGCCATGATTCCGTCCCCACTTACCTGTTTAGAACCACCAGTCATTTCCAGAGAGCCTGAGGAGGCTGTCTGCTCCCACAAAGGTTGAGAGCCTCAGGAAATCGCCGGGGCAGTTCTCCTGTGTCTATAGCATCACTATGTGTCAGAACTGACAATGGCAGTGGCTTGGGGCTCTGGTTTACCTGCCAGGTGTCACATGCTGTTTCTAATCCTCACTATTATGATTATTGCAATATCAGAATGAGAAAAATAAGGCCCAGGAGGTTAGGTCACTGCTCAAGGTCACAAGCCCAGTAGAGTTGGTTTCAAACCCAGGCCTCCTGTCTCTCTGTGCTGCTCCGCCTCCCCACGTGGTCGCTGCAACCTCTGCGTTCCTCCCCGCTAGGTTCCTCCTACCTGAAGCGCCCATTGCTCTCTGAGGTGTGCAAGCCGATCCACCAGTGCTGCTCCTGGCCCCGAGAGAACTGCGGACACCGGCAGGCAGGTGAGGGTGGGTAGGGCTGCTGCCCCCCTACTCCCCCCTGCCGGTCCCCCAGACCTCCTCCCTGCCCCTAGCGCAGCCTCACGGGCTCACCCACCTTCTGCAGGTTTTGCTCCAGGAAGTCCAGCTCGGCCTGGCTGTGCACGGAGGCCAGTTCGGCCTGGAACCACGTGCAGATGCGCTGCGCCTGCGTCCACGTGGAGTGGTGCTCAAAGAACTTGTATTCCGCCTCCTGGAAGCGCAGCCATTCCCGCCGGCCTGGGGAGCAAGGGAAGGCAAGCTGGCAGTCCGTGCCCTTCCCTAGGCTCAAACCTCTGGCCCCTAAACCCTTTCATCTGGGGCGGTGGGGGGTGGCAAAGGGCCTCACCTTGGGGGCTCACGTCCGGCTCCTGCACTTCTGAGCCTGTGGGGACAACATGGGCAGAGCTATGGGGAAAGGAGCCCTCCCGGGGCGGGGGCCCAGCCAGCCCTGCCCCGCCAGCCCCCCCACCTCTGGGGAGCTTGCAGATCCAGTCCAGCGGTGTCTCGCACTGCAGGGCCACCCACTGCAGGGAGGCCAGGTCGAGCACGGCACAGCTCCGGATGTGGTCGTCGTCGTGCCGGCTCCGGTCGAAGTTGTGGTAGGAGAACTGGGGGTGTGCACGAAGGGGGTGGAGGGGGCCTGCGGCTCGCCCAGGACGTCTGCACGGGTGACCTCTAGCCCTGCCCGACGGGGCGCATCTACCTCCCACCGCGGCTGCTTGCCCTTCACCGCCCCTGGCCCACCTACCCCGAGCCCATCGCTCCAGCGCCAGCTCTGCCCGCCGCTGGGGTCGCGCCGGTTCAGCCCCATCCAGAACCAGTGCTGCTCTTGCGTCTCCGGCTCCGACTCCCTGGGGGCACCGGCGGCATGGGAAAAGGGGGTGAGGATGAGAGGCAAGGGGTCCAAACCCGCCTCCTGTCCCCGCAGCTGTGACAGCGCAACCCCGCACCGTAGGCCTCTGTGTGCGTCTCACACTCCCGCACAATAAACACATCATTAAAGCGGAGCTTAAACAAAACAAAACAGAAAACCCAACAAACTACTGCCATCGAGTCAAGACTGACTCCTGGGGAACCCCGTTGGGATTCAGACTGTGCTTACAAGAGTAGAAAGCCCAGCCTTTCTCCCACGGAGCTTCTGGTGGTTTCAAACTGCCCACCATGAGGACTGCTGCCCAAGGAGTAACCACTCTGCCACCAGGGTCCACGGAATAGAGAGAGGCCCCTTTAAATGGGAGACACATTGGGACAAGTAGGGGCTGGGGGTGGGTGCCTGGCTCCCTCCCTCCCCCTCGACCCTGCAGTTTCCCAGTTGATGGCGCTGGGCCCTGGATTCAAGTCCTGCCTGACCCATGGAGGCCCCAGTGACTGGGAGCAAATCCCTCCACTAGTCGGGGCGCCACCAACCCTCCGGCCCCAGCTGGTCACCACAGAGCCACCTGCACCTGAGCTGGGAGTGGATGGAGACGTCCCTGTAACTAAGGTCTCAGAAACCTGGGCTCCTTTCGGGTTTCCCAGGGGGCGAGGGGGGGGTGAGGGAGGTCATGGAGATGCCCTGGGGGTGTGTCATAAGATGTTCTGACTCCACAAGGCAAAGAAGGGGTCCAAGAGACCCTTCCCCACATGGATACATAGTTTGATCCGCCTGCCCCTGGGGATATTGCCGTTGTTAGATACTGTCCAGTAGATTCCAGCTCGCTGTGATCCTAAGTACAAGAGAGCCAAACACCATCTGGCCCCGCCCCAGCCTCACAACTGCCCTCATGTTTGACCCCATGCATGTATCTGTGCTAGAAAGGAGGTTTTCAGAGGCTCCCGTCTCCAAAGTGGACCACCCATTCCTTCTTTGTAGCCTGTTCTTCGTCTGGAAGCTCCCACTGAAACCTGTTCCCCTGTTCAGGTGACCCTGATGGCATTTGAAATACCAGTGACGAAGCTCTCAGCGTCATAGCAACACACAAGCCATCACAGCAGGACAAACTGCCAGACACGTGGTGGGGGCATCATGGGATGAATAAACCGAAACTCCCTGCCATCCAGTCCATTCTGACTGTAGCACAGAGCAGACCTGCCCCTGTGGGTTTCCAAGGCTGCACGTCTTTCTGGGGACAGACAGACTCTCCTAACCCGCTACGCCACAGTGCTAACAAATTCACTGCCACAGAGTCCATTCTGTCACACAGTGTCTCTATAAGGCAGAGTACAACTGCCCCTGTCGGCCCCAAGACTAGAACTTCTTGTGGGAGGAGAAAGCCCCATCTTTCTTCAACAGAGTGGCCGGTGGTCTCAAATGGCTGACTTTGTGGTGAGCCCCCCAGCTCATAACCACTAGGCCCAGGGCTCCTTGGGATGATGTAAGGCAGGGAAAATAGCAAGTTGGAGGTGATCGTGGAAGATTTTGCAATGTGGAGGGACGGCAACGTATATAAAAGTTTGTGGGCCAGGACGGGGGTCACTGCTGATGAACTATAGGGCCTCTGAAGACCCCTGTATCCTCCAAGGGTTATTCAAACAGATGCCTGGGTAATTTCAAGCCCACAGGCAGGCCTGACGGGGTCACTCTGTCCCTACCAGGCCTTCACACACCTGAGGTCTGCGCAACGCCCCCCCCCCCAACAATACTTCCCACTTAGCACCCACCTCAGAAATTACAGCCTCCACCTCTCCCTTACCAGTGTCCCAGGCTGGACACTCACTCACTGTACCAGGCTCAGTACCCTCCTGCAGTAACCCAGGCTCAGTACTGCCCCCACCCTGCCAGTGTCCCAGGCTCAGTACCCGAAAATCTTGTTGAGCATGTTGGCCACAAAGTGCTCCTCCTCATAGGTGGCCAGGCTGAGCAGCTGGGCCCCCAGCTCCCGGCAGGCCCCCTGTGCTTGCACCCAGCTCCTCCTGTCCTGTAGCCGGTCTGAGCTGAACACCTGTGGGACAGATACCTGTTGGCCCAGCTCCAGGAGGTGCAGGGGATGGTGATGGCAGGGTGGGTGCAGCCCACCCTACCAGCAGGAAGGGGTAGGGGCTGGGCTTCCCTGGACAGGCCCAGGTGAACTGAGGGCAGTGGTGCCCCTTGGAGAAGAGTCCCACCTCAGGGTGAATTGGCAATCGGCTCCTAGGAAATAGGCCTCGGCTGAGGACCCTAACCATGAGACCATCTATGAGGATATCTAACCATGAGACCATCTATGAGGATATCTAACCATGAGGGCATCTATGAGGATGTCTAACCCTGAGATCATCTATGAGGATATCTAACCCTGAGGACATCTATGAGG